GTAGTAATCATTCTTCTTTTCCTTCATACAATGGCGAAATTCTTTCGAAAACGCAGTCTCAGAGCACGAGATGATCAGGTCACCAACGCGTCGAATCTCACGCTTCGACAGTCAATACTCCCGCTATGTCTAGTGACGATTCTCTTTTTCCTCTGGGTATGTTTATCGCCTACCGCTCTTTAGAGGAATTGTTTGTATTAACCAGAAATTTTGATTAGGGCTTTGCGTATGGCTTGTTAGATGTGCTCAATAAGCATTTCCAAACCACATTAGGGATTACTAGGTCTCGGTCTTCAGGTCTCCAGGCTGCTTATTTTGGGTTCGTAATATTACTATCTTTCCTAGGATTTGGACGTGTTTATCTGATACTAATCCGTTTGTAGCGCGTATCCAATTGCTTCATTGACATATGGAGGCTACTGCCTGCGGAAATTTGGCTACAAGGCTACTTTCATGCTTGGATTGACATTGTATGGAGTCGGCGCACTATTGTTTTGGCCTGCAGCGCTAAAACGGTCCTTTGGTGTAAGAAATCCTCAATAATTCCCCCTTTGATAGCAGGAGGGCCAATGTTGACAAAAATCTAGGGATTTTGTGGTGCCACATTTATCATTGGTTCCGGCTTGGGTACTCTTGAATCCGCCGCCAACCCGTACCTCGCGGTCTGCGGTCCCCCAAAGTACTCTGAGATGCGTCTCAATCTAGCACAGGCCGTTCAGGCAGTCGGTACAGTCGTCGGCCCCGTTTTGGCGTCGCAGGTGTTCTTCAAGAATGTGAATGAGAACTCCCTGGAAAGCGTGCAGTGGGTTTATCTTGGTATCGCGATATTCGTATTTGTCCTTGCCGGTGTTTTCTATATATCGACAATCCCAGAGATCACGGATGCAGATATGGAGCGCCAGATGGAGGCCACTGGAGGTGTGTTTACAGAAGACGATGCAAAGCCGATAACAAAGCATTATCAGCTATGGTGGGGAGCTTTCTCCCAGTTCTGTTATGTAGGCGCTCAAGGTAGTTATCCTTCTCTATACCATCTGCTGGTCTCTGTTGCTAATTCTGAGATGTTTAGTCGGTATTGCGGGATACTTTGTAAACTACGTGGTTGAAGTAAGAAAAGGCACCAGCTCAGCAGATGGAGCCAATTTTCTGGCTGGTGCACAGGGCTGCTTCGCAGTTGGAAGATTCTTGGGTGTGTTTTTGATGAAATTCATCAACCCGCGTAAAGTCTTCTTTGTCTACTTTACCTGCGTTATCGCGTTTCAGTCGGCAGCTGTCGGGGCTACTGGGAATGCTGGAATGGGTATGTCGCCATGAAATCTATTCCTAGGTCAAACCGTAGCTAATTTTCCCTGCTAGCCTGCCTCATGCTCGTGCTCTTCTTCGAGTCCATCTGTTTCCCTACAATCTTCACTCTTGCTATCCGTGGTCTCGGAAAACACACAAAGACGGGATCAACGGTCGTTGTCGCCTCCATCATTGGCGGTGCCATTGTGCCCCCGCTACTAGCCGTCACAGCAGACAGATTCAACAACACTGGCACTGCCATGTTTGTGCCGTTGATATTCTTCGTTGCTGCGTATTCTTTCCCGATAGGAGTCAACTTCCACGGTCCAACCAGGCGCCTGATGGATGGCTTCTTGGACAGTAAGGTTGGAATGGAGACTTCCAAGGAAGATGATATCGAGAAGGCGAATATAGAGGGAGTTGAGGATATTGAGATGGATAAGACGAAGAAATAGGGCACTTTTTCTTAGTTTGTTTTGTTTTGTTTTAGCAGCATTACTCAACGAGCCTTAACTAGATTATGAGACATATGAATCATAGTATAGGTACTCACCTATCAAACTCGACCCCATCTATGTGCATGGGGGTTCTTTTGTGAAAGACATAGACTTGAGACTTTACAAGCCGTCTCTGTATCCTGCTACAGCTATGATAGAGTAGAGTAGGTTCTTCCTGGAACCGGGGAAACCGTTGGGGCCGTCCGCTGCATTGCGGTTATTAGGCCAATGATCGTGAGCTGCAGGCAGCCCCGCCGCCAAGCACCGGTACTACTGCTATATATTCAGCCTGATCCTTACCCCTGCCAATGATACATGCACAGGTAAATCCTGCAGCAACAGCTACTACCGCAGATAACCAGAAAAATAGAAAATGCCGATATGAAAAACCCAAGCGCTATAGATGTAGCTACGTAGCCTCCTCAACTTCCTCAACTTCACTGGAGTAGATCCACCTACCTCATAGCTTCAATTCCTCAATTGTTTCGCACCTCAAGCTCAATTGCTCCCCCAATTGCCATCAATACACCAAGAAACAATGGCCAACCCCCGCCCCAAGCTCTCGACCCTCCTCCCACCGGTGATCCTCGGCGGCGGCGTCTACAACACCCAAATGAACCCGGACCCTTCCCTCCTTCCCGTCCGCGCACTCATTGCCCGCGCCTTCGCCGTCGGCATAACCGCAATCGACACCTCCCCGTACTACGGCCCGTCCGAAATCCTCATCGGCGACGCCCTCAAGCATAGCGCCGCGCCCCGCGACTCCTACCTCATCATGACCAAAGCCGGGCGCATTGCGGAGCAAACATTCGACTACTCTCCCTCGTGGATCCGATCTAGTGTATTGCGCTCACTGCAACGCTTAAACACCACATACCTCGACGTCGTGTTCTGCCACGACACTGAGTTCGTCACTCCTGAGGCCGTTGTTGAGGCCGTACGAACGCTGTTTACTCTCGCCGACGAGGGAAAGATCCGGTATGTCGGTATCTCCGGGTATCCGCCGGAGGTGCTTGCGGAGCTCGCGGTGCTGATACGGCAGCGACTGGGAAGGCCGGTTGATGCGGTGCAGAGCTACTGCCACTATAATCTGCAGAATGGGAAGTTGGAGGAATATGTGCCGAAGCTGAAGGGAGAGGGCGGTGTGGATGTTGTGCTGAATGCGTCGCCGCTGAGTATGAAGTTGCTGTCGGGGAGCTATCCGGGAGACTTCCATCCGGCGCCGAAGGAGCTGCAGGAGAGGTGTGTGAAGGCTGAGAAGTGGTGTCGGGAGAGGGGGGAGTCGCTGGCGGGGGTTGCGATGCGCTGGGTGTTTAAGAATTGGGAGGGGAGCGTGATTACGGGTGCGAGCTATGTAGAGGAGTTGGAGAGTAATTTAGAGGCGTTTAGGGAAGTGCGGGGGGAATTAGGTGGCGTACAGGTGAGCGCGGAGAGGTTGAAGAGGTTGGAAGAGTTGTGGAGTGGGGTGAGGGATATATTAGGCGAGTATGTGGATTGGAGTTGGAGTAGTCCGCCGGAGGGTTACGTTAAATGGGGAGAGAAGGTGGCCCAGAGTAGGCTGTAGTTTTTCAGAGTTGGAGTAATTGTTTTCCTACATAGAACTTATATATTAGTAAAACTAGACAGAGACCTGGCCGTAGTGGGGTACAAATTTGTCCTTTTCCACTTTATACCTTTGCGCCCTTTGCTGCCCATGAGTATCGTCATGTTTTCCGAGCTTAATGGAAGTACCGTACCTCCTCCTACCGCCTCCCATCCTTCCTAGTTGGCATTGGATGATTCGATCAACAGACCCTGTTTCGAGAAGAATCCCAGTGATATGTAGTTGAGATGAGGTTGGCGCTATCCTTCGCGTTATTCGGCGTTGTGGTGTGATGGTGATGGTGGTGGTGATAGTGGTAGTGATGGGAGTGGGTGTGGTATTGCACCTGAAGGGAGAGCCACCTTACCATCTCCCCCGGAACATATTTCTTCCAGCTTCATTAGCATAGTGGTAATGCATTGTATGGAGACAAGTACGACGGCGAGGACCCGGGTTCGATTCCCGGTACGAAGCAATATTTAAACATTTTTTACCCCCCGCTTTAATTTCTTTTAGCTTCAGTCGAAGGTGAGTTGGCCTCTGTCTTTTTTGTATAATAACTGGCAAACTAAAAGTATTCCATAGGCATACTTTACATGAATCCGATTCTACAGACTCGGGATCGAACAAAAGATGGTGGAGGTCCCACTCCGATATACTACTTAACAAACTTCGTGTCCCTTCTGCTATGTTAGCATCACGTCCTACAGCGTTGAGGGTTTTATATGATTGAAACATTGATAATTCATTAATTGTTTATAGGGGGTTTATATAAGGAAGGATTAGGCAATCTTGTGCTCGTCCGTTTAGGAGTGTGCTTTACTGCATTACTGGTCAGTCATTTTATCTCAATGAAAGGACTCGGCCCAACCATCAGCGATGGCAGATAGATGGCGTTTTTGTTCCAAAAAAAACATATTTGGGACACAATTAATCATGCACAGTTGCAGCTGATTTCATGGCTTTCTTACGTACCCTCGTGGGGGGGGCGAAGTTAGCCCTGAGCAATTGAGGTCGAGAAATTCCAGGTAGGAATCTTGTTATACTTTACAATTAAACAGCCTCCAACGACGAATACGGATATCCCTTGTCCATATGGTCCGGATCCTATATATCTCGAGTCCTCACTCCAGCATATACGGCTTTACTCATGGATCATGGGGCACGTTCGTGGCTGGGTCGGCGGAAAGGAAACATTGATTGGTTCTTCCTCGTGTTTTAGTTTTCTGTATGGATTATGATAAGTCCCGAACCCTCTTTGCGGTGTTGGAATCACGATATGGTTGTGGATACGATAATAAACATAACTAATCACTCGATATCGTATGGTTAGGTAAGCAGATTGTACTTTTGTTTTGTTTTTTGACATGATGTACTCTAGCGACAAAAATATTTTTTGAGGAAATGAACGAAATACAAGAATTGAGAGAAATGAAAATGAAATGTAAGTTCCGCGGGCAACCTTGTCTTTGACAACAAGCAGTGTAGTACCGGGGGATTCCTTCGCCAACCACCCTCACTAGTCCCATGCTCATACCCACCAACTCTGACGACAAAGAAACCCGCAAGAACGACCGCGGAAGCAAGCACGATATATAATCGCTATCCTTACTTCAGGATCCACAAATTCTTATCCCTTAAAGAAATGCATCAAGGGCCCCCAAAACGTGGCCCATCAGCTTTTTACCAAACAACCACCCAACAGCGAAGATTGTGTTTCTGTAGTACCAGTAGATGTAGTCAGGTCCCTGATTGTATAAGAAGTAGCACCAGTCGACGGGCTCGAATTTCCCATGGAACATATGGATCGCGAGAACCGTTACCGTGGCGCGGAAGATGAAGGTGTTGAAAAATGGTGCACTGGGGTTGTTAAAACCTTTGGCAAAGTCTTGGTTGAGTTAGCTTTTTTCTTGCTTTTTTTTCTTCTCTCTATAAAGCAGAGTATAGGAAAATTTCGAAAATGAGAAGAGACTTACCGTCAACCGTCTGCTTCAACAATTTAACAAAGTAAAACCTAACCCAGCGTCCTAGGCACATCATGAGCACATCCCCGGCGGCATAGAAAACGAATGCCAGAACAATGCTGGAATCTGTCATTTCAGCGATCGCGGGTGAGACCTTTTGCTTCCACTCAGCGATGATCATCTGAACATAGATAATCAACACTCCTTTGAACAATATTCTCCGAAATTCCTCGGCAGACTCGACAATTTTCGTTGTGCGCCCAAAGGGTGGCCAAGACTCCTCCCTTTTTCGTTTCCCTCTAATAGCACCAAGAGTTAGCTCGACAACAGTTTTTTCAGAGGGCTTGTAATTGCACCTAGGAGTGTCGTTCTTGTAGATGTAGTCTTCGATAACTCCAGCACACTCGTGGAGGATACCAAGGATGGTGAGCTTGTGACGGTTCTCCAAGAGCTGTTCAAAACGCCAGAGTGGGCTGCCTTTCATGCGAGAAGCAACACGTCGAGAGGCAGCGGCTTTGGCTGGAGAAGGCGGATTAAGTGTGTTTTTCTTGGGGGAATGCTTGAAGCTGACAACTACAGCCCTTTGATTACACATGTTGAACCTGTATTTTACCATTTTTGTACTTGGGGATGAAGAGATTGTTTTTATTGTAAGAGAGAAGAAGTAGTGGAAGAAGGATGGAGTAGATGGCGGAGGTAGGAGAAGGAGGTAGCAGTCACAGTGTTGATAGGTTTGAGGGAGAAGATGTAGTGGAGGGGCAGTCCTTTGTGGGCTGGCGGGGTGTGTTTGGTGCGGTTAGTGGCATGTGCGCAATGCATATGCGTGGCTAAAACTCGGGGACTCCTCGAGGACCCCAAGACATGTATTTGAGTAAGGGCGTAGTACATGTATGTACATTACATGTAGCTAAATGCTTTTTAGATGGGATCGTTTCTCGACCCATCGCTCCTCTATTCTGATCAATATCAGCAATATTCTAGAAACGATGAAGGGCTTGAGAAATTGAAGCATCTGCTAAAGGGCATCTCATATCTACAAAAATCCGAGAGCTTGGTCTTTCTGCACTCGGGGAAATATTCTTTTCATCTTACACAAATTCCGAGTGATAATTTGAGATTTCGTGGTGAAACGCCCACAGCAAAAAGAAATGCCTCCTTCGAATGTGGATTTATTATGTAGATCCTGAGGAGCAAATAACATTTATACCACGGTCTGTAAGATACTACAGTGGTGAACTGAATATAGCTGCGCATTGATCGACCGAACCTTACTCACATCCTCAGTGTACGGCAGTCATCTCGATCATTGACATCGATTACATAAATTCGTGTGGTATCGATCATTGCAGCCTCGCCAACCCTAAAAAGCACTGAGACCATTCTTCCCCAATAAGTCTAGCGAGCTAGATCATGATGTCATATTTCTCTTGGCACTGAAACTCACCTCGTTTGCTGACTTCTAGATCTGTGCAGAGAGCGCTCTCCAGGAAATGACAGGACAGAAAACGCCACATCTCAGAACTGGAAACATGGCTTCTAAACTCACGATTTCGACCACCGTGCGCCTGGCTTCAGGATATGAGATGCCGCGCCTAGGTCTCGGCGTATGTGCTCTACCCCGGAGGAGGTGGCATACTCAGTTACCGGATCAGTACTGACATCTCATAGGTCTACCAAACGTAAGAAGCATAATTGCATCGCTATATAAATCATAGTACCCGAATTAATACTGTTCCATGACCCAGCCCAGCAGACAAATGCGAGGCCCTTGTACTTCACGCCTTCTCGAAGGGCTACCGACACGTAACACTTCCTCCGAGCCTATCCCAGTAGAGCACGCTAACAAACGCCTCAGATAGACTCCGCCACCGCCTATCGCAATGAGCGGCCTTGTGCCGCTGCAATTGCCGCATCCCCTCTCTCCCGCTCCGAAGTCTTCTTCACAACAAAGCTACCTCCTCGACTTCGCGGGTATGTCCACCGCCCGCCCGCCCGCCTTTCTGTATCTGCAGGAAGATAGGCTAACATATATTGTCTAGATACGAAGAAACTAAGAAGTCCCTCAATAATGTCATCACGTCCAACCCGGAGCTCGAGGGTTACATCGATCTGTACCTTATCCATGCTCCGTACGGCGGGCGCACCGCGCGCCTTGGCGAATGGAAAGCCATGGTCGAAGCACACAAAGAGGGGAAGATCCGCTCTCTGGGCGTGTCAAATTACTCCGTGGATCATCTAAACGAATTGTGGAAATACATTGATGAAGAGGGTGGCGGAGGTATTCTGAGCGTGGGGCAATGGGAGGTCACGCCGTGGCTGGGGAGGAGGGACATCAGAAAGTGGTGCGAAGAGAGGGGGGTGGTAGTGCAGGCTTATTCGCCGTTGGTAAGGGCTACGAGATTTGGTGAGCCGGTGGTGAGGAATCTGGCCGAGAAGTATGGGGTAATGCCTGCGCAGGTATTAGTGAGATGGAGTTTGCAGATGGTATGTTCGAATTCCTCCTGTCTGCCGGTCTCCATTTAGGTGATTCTAATTGACAACAGGGGCTTGTACCGCTCCCGAAGTCAGTTCATCCTGAGAGGATCTCGGAGAATGCGGACGTTTATGGGTTCGAAATTTCAAAAGAGGATATGGAAGAGTTGGAGACCGATGAGTATAGCCCATGTTCCTGGGATCCTACGAAGGAGCCTTTGTAAATATTTGCCATGGTGTGCAACAAAGCATCGAAAAATAATATGTTATTGGTATTACTCACTCGTTAATTAAAGGTCGGAAGTCGTTGCAACCAAATCCTCACACGGAATTCCAGCCTTTTAATTAATGCGTGAGTACCTACGAGAGTAAATGATTATCTATAAGTACATCATTGGTAAAGACCATAGTAAGCTTTGAAGGGCAGAACGTTGCTGGAAGGAGAACCAATATCATCTTTTCCCTGTATTCCACCATACTTGCCCCGGCCATATGTTTTTCTCTATAAATGCACCATGGCTCATTGTCGTTTGACAATCGTAAATTCAGGCACATCTGCAGCGAAAACACCCAAACATTTTGTCTTCAAAGATGGGTTGGTGTTCTGGGAAACGTGGCGTGACATGAAAAGTATAAATTCTTGTCAAACAATGCAGTGACGTCGTAAGACCACATATCAACACCCACACATGAACTTATGGGTCACGCCCATCCATCTGCTTTCTCTATCTCTTTTTCCTCTCCTCTTCTCCCCCTATTGCTACATATCCCAGTAATCTTGTCGTTGTTGCTATCGACATATGCATGTACACAACAAATTATTTGGTTCCGCCCCAAGCGAAGCATCGTACTTCATCAAACTGCCAACCTTTTATCATCCATCATTGACCATCAACAGCTATCACGAACAACGTGATCCTCTCAAAAATACCACTTTCCGCAATTGGACTTCCTGCCCAGAGTTTGAGTCATACATTCTCACTCCTCTTTGAAAGATGAAACACTTCACATGATGATAGGCCAATCATCCACGTCTCTCCGCTAGCTATGTACAATTACCAGTCAATTTACTTCCTTTCCTCCCCTCCACTGCTGATCAATGGCGCATAGCTGACTCTCGCGATGTCTTAATTACGCGAGTGATGAGACATGAATCTAATCAACTCTCGATACTAGCTATAAATGGTTAGTTTATGATTACATCAAACGCCTCGCCAAGGTCGCTTAGCAGCCACGGCGCCAGGAGTTTGGTACGTCCGGGTGGCTTCAAGTGGTGGTTTCCACCAATCGATGTCCCACGAGCGAGGCATCATCGAACGTCGCCGTTTCACGATGTTTTTCATGGCTTCCCATGGCTTCCGCCCCAAATCCGCGGACGTTCTCGGGGACGGAACCTATTCTAGAATAGTAAGTCTGGACTAGACTAGACTAGAATTAACGGCCAGCTTTTTCTAGCTAGAAGCCTGGGGCGCTGTCAATAGCGCCTGCCAAGCCAAATAACTGTATGTATGGCGTTCCTTCACCCCTCGTTACTCATCCTCTAATTTCACCAGGCGAAAATTTTGTGCGCTTGCTTGCCTCCATGTGAGCTGTAGAATTCCGGTAAACTGGGCGGTGGCACTCATTAAGGCTGATTTGGATTGCCTGAAGTCGAGTCTTAGGAAGGAGCTCAGCGTCAGCGGGCTTAGCATCCGCTCCCAACGCTTCTCCTTTTTCATAACTTACAGTTTCCGGTAGAATTATTGCGAAAGCCAGAGCTAAAAGAGTGGATCCTGTTGGTCTGTGCTCGTAGCAAAAATCTTTTAAGGGCCAATAGGACTGTCGGGTCACGGAGAACCCACTTTCGCAATAATTCTACCGGAATCTGTACATACGGCTCACGAGTCACGAGTCACGACTCACAACACCTCATTGTTCGTGCTGACTCTTTTACCTCGTCGGGCTAAGTTCAACATCATTGATCCAGGGATATTAATTTATTTATTTACCGAATTTTGATTTCTAGAAGAAACAAAATACAAGAAAGGAAACGTGAGTTTAGCTCCGATCTCCGCTTTCCATGGGGAGAGTCGGTTATCGATGCAGAAAATTGCGCTTGGGCCGTTTTTTATCTTTAACTATTCCCAATACACACTCTAAAAGAGATGCGCAATTCTTTTTGCATGAGGATCATACATAAAAAAGGAGAAAAGCATTGCCGGATTCCGGTGCTGCACCGGGTGGTGGTTGTGCCGTCAATCAAAACGTAATGTCTCACAGCAATATTCTCACTCTTATGAACTTATTACTACTGCGGAGTATGATCGACATTTGGATCTTAGTAAGGATTTAACTACAATCATGAACCCACTGCAAATACTGAACTGGAGAAATCAAATGTGCCTTTCAAAGGCTTATCCCCACCAGGTTCTGGGCCGGCGTCAACAGGATGGGTACCAGGTTAGATAACTATGCCGCCATATATGTATCTCTCCCAGACTTCAGTTCCCAGACGCGGATAGATAGGAAAACTACAGACATCCACAAACCGGATATCTTGGAGATTAGAACGGCACTCTCCTAGCTTCTATATCCGGGCGAGTCTCTATACTTATACTCTTGGTAAAAATTACCTTACTCAAGTTTGACCCTCAAAGCGATCAAAGCCCCAACACAGTGAAGATATACATAGGTGGTTCAGGTACCGTTTACTTCACCGCGCCGGATATCGGATCACTCTCGTTACATACATGTAGTTAAGAAACATGGTGATTTCTGCTCTACATATTGCATGCGGCGAGAATGCTTCATAATACAGGTATTGCCTGCTCTCGGCTAACTACATGTAGGCGCCATATCCCCCGAGTCTATTGTGCTCATAGCTATAGACGCATGTTTGGAATGTGGAATATGGAATGCATGGTTCCACTGCTAGGAGTACCCCGTGGGAAAGGGCCATTACCTCCCTACTCGGTAGAACTTTATATCTCTCGTACGAACCATAACTTACCAGTATTTGGCTACTAATCTGGACCTACCACACTAGAGTATAAGCTCATCCCGACTCATGAAACTCAGGAAAGGCCTATTGGCGTCTACATGGAGCAACCTGGATAGTTGGTCTTGATATTTGAGGAAAACTGTTATCAATCACGATCTACGGCCACGGATAAAATTATCCCTATCTGTCCAGATTGAAGATACATAACCATATTTCGCTCAATGACGCCTTTTAGACGTCTTGATGTATGGGCGTGGCGCCCCAGATTCATGGAAAAAATATCAGCCAGAATTCTCGAACTATTCTAGAAATCTCCGAAATATATGGTCTTAAGCTCCGTTTGGGGAATGAAAGCTGTGGATTATAGTCCTAACTGTTTACAACCTCGAGTAATAGTCAACGCTGTTGATCCAACAAATTTTCTTTTTCTAAGGGGCGTTGACGGCATATTATACTCTGAGCATCGCTCCTAATTTCTAGGAGATCTTAATTTATTATTTCCTGTTGTCACACTCGGGAGTCATAACCATTACGATTTGGAGAACAAATATATATATTATCATGGATAATGTGATGGGATAAGTAGTCCCAATCGCTAATCACACCCATTTGAGAATAATTAAGAATATAATACAAAATTTATACAAAGAAAATAATCATCGAACACCCTTAGTTGGGGCACAGACGGCCCTCCAAGTCCAAAGTCCAATCCTCACTACCGACTGCAGTGCTGGCATAAAACACACTCTTCGGGTCAAACCTCTGCTTCAACTGGTACAAACGAGCGTAGTTCTCGCCGTAGAAAGCCTGTTGGAAGTTTGGCTCCTGGATATCAGACTCCCCGAGGTAAGCACCAGAGCCGGGGGTGACATCTCTCCACTTCTGCATTTGCACATTGGTGAGGTAATCCCTCTTTGCTTGGATTTCCTCCGGTGTGGCACTTGCGTCCCAGGAAGCCGCACCAATAGCATGCAAGACAGATTGTCTCCATGCAGGGTTGACAGAGTTATCAGGCTCGCCACCACCAGGGAACTCATTCTTCATGTTAAATCCAAGAAGCATTCCCTGTTCCTCGACAACTGACCTGATAACTGCAAAAGTTTTATCAAAGGTCGCCTCATCTACCCAGTTTGCACGGGGGAAAAGACGGGATGCAGTCTGCACTGTAGTGTATCCAACGAGTTCCTTAGGGAAGGTCGCCTGCCATGCGTCGAAGAAAGACTCGTGCTCGGTGATAACGGGTGTGTATTCAATGTTCAATGAGTCGAGTTTATCAAAGAGGGGCTGGAGGAGGGCTGTGACATCTGCCGCACTGAGATTGGGAGCAAAGAAGGGTGCCATGTTGAAAGTTCCGGTAAAGATGCTGAAGTACGCATAGGTGCCTGCGTCAGCGTTGGTGATGAAAGTGTTGAAGTAGACCTTGACAGCATCCCAGTATGCCTCTAGGTCGGTGGAAGAGAAGCTGAATGTAGCGGTAGTAACCGGGAGGTCGGGGTAAGCCTTGACAATGACTGAAGTGACAATTCCAAAGGTAGATCCACCACCACCACGGAGAGCCCAGAAGAGATCCGAGTTTCGCTCTGCATTAGCGGTTACGAAGCGACCATCTCCGGTTACAACTTCGTACTCAAGGACGTGGTCGGCTCCCATTCCGTAGATACTGGAGAGGGGTGAGTGACCACCTCCGGCGAGGTAGCCTCCAGCATATCCGACAGTCATACCCTCTCCACCGACAACGACGAGGCCTTGGGCTTTGGCCGCGGCATAGACGTCACGGCCCTGGACACCGGCTCCGACTTTGAAAGCGGGGCCAGACCAGCCGAGACGGTTGAACTTAGGGATATTTTTGATGTCATTGAAGAAGTGGGTCCAAACACTAATGGAGTTTGCACCAGATGACTTTCCAGAGAAATCGTGACCTATGGACAGAGGTTAGTATAATAGACCCAAGCTGAAAATATAAAATCCAGCGAGAAGGTTACCAGTGTTCTTAACAACGAGCCTGACACCGAAGTTTCTAGCAAAGTTGACAGCAACTTGGATGTCGAAAACGGTCTTAGCTTTGATAACGTAATTAGGGTATCCTCCAAGAGTGCAAGACCCAGTGGGATCAGTGGTGGGCATGCAAGTAGCACCCTGGTAGAAGGGAGACATGATTGAGGTAGGATCTTGATCGCTGCAATCACATAAAGTTTAGAATTTTAACATCAATTAAGCTAGTTTAGGGGGAAAAAACATACTGCAAGTCCGAGTCGTGCCAGCTAGCAGTAATCTCTGCACATCTAGTGGCATTGTAATATTCTCCATTATAGCAAGGCGCCGCCAAAGGCACAGTGGGGATGAGCTTCTTGCCCGTCAGGAAGTTAACAATGCCCCAGAGCTTTGAAGAGGGCCATTTTGAGTCAGCGGATATGACTTTGCACACAAGATCGGATACTGAGCGCTTTGAAGAGGTATGTTCAGTGTAGATTATATCGTCGAACGAGATCTCAGGGTATTCCTCAACATCGGCATCAGTCAATGTCGAGACCTCGTACGGGAACGGTTCAGTTGTGGCAGTACTGCTGGCTGCGGCATCAGTGCTTGAGGCATCGGGTGCTGGAATTGCGAGTGCTCCAGAAAGGAAAAGTGCCAATGCGGCCAACTTCCAGTTTCCGGTACGTTGGGTAGATACAATGTTCGGCATCTCCGTGTTTTTTCTTTTTCTTTGTTTCTGTTGGGTTCTTTTGATACGGGAAAAAAAAATAACGAGCTGACTGAGGGTGAGTGAGTGAAATAAACACGTGGAAAATGAAGTAAAGAACGAGTGTGCCACGTTGTAGACTTCACTCAGGGAGGAAGGCGGGAATTTATGCAAATACAAAGGTCGACATTTTCAGATAGACCGTTGAGCAGAGCCCCTCCCTATTCCCTATGGAGAAATGCGGATGACGGGTGCCCACGTGGAAGGAAAGGGTGGCTTAGAGAAGAACCTGGGAGCATATGGATAAATGGGAGAATAGTGGAGACAAATCTCCAAACTATTGGTTACCAAGTCTGTGTTTGTATGCAGATAGAAGTACTTGGAGATGAAGTTACAAATACTTTAGCTGGGTTTAGCAGTTTAGCACATATACAAGGTAACCAAATATCGCTTGGATCACTGGGCCTCTGATTGGACCCGATTACCAGCTAACAACCACAAGGGAATATTTATGCAGCACGGTTCGTGGATCAGTAGTCGGATAAGCGACAGCCGCGCTCTCGCAACTTAATAAAGTAATCTACTGTTATTGTTGTACAGCTTACGCACTGAACTCGAGTCTTAGAGACGGGATCGAGAGAATATTGTGTCAGGGAGTGTAGACCGATATTGAGTCTACTGGGATATCTAAATACCAGCAGCAGTCTCGACCTCGGAGACCCTGCAATCAACGAGGACTCTGCATGAGAAAATCATCCAACGAGAGGATTATGATAAGTCTAAATATCGAGTCATTTCTGGCATATGATCCCTTCGGCTTACAACTGTCTTGCAATGTTGTTTCTCCAGCATAAGATCGATAATATATTATGCACCACTATCGAGCCTTACTTCCTTAATTACATCAAGGGATACCCCTTTTACTTTACTCTTCTCACTCCTATTATTTACCTAATGCTACCCCAGTCCACCAAGGTACTCTGCATAATCAATAATAATACCGTCGCAACTTATGCTTCAACTATATATTATATACCTCACGATATTACGTACGTCTAGCGCTAGGAATGGCATGTCTTACAACGCCACAATTCGTTACCAAGCTATTCCTATCAGTAAAATAGTAGGGCCAAATAGTTAAATGACTGCATCGGTATTCTCTGCGAGGACTCTTTAAATACTCTGCAATTCTTAGACAGGATGTTCACTGAACGGCTGGGAATGCCCCTGAAACTGGAACGATCATCTTGCGTTCCTGCCAGGGGCGGATTCCGTTATGCATACTGCGTATGCACTCTACCGATTATCCATTTGTGTATGGCTTTCACTCTAAAGTTTCCCCGCCTAAGAGTGCTTTACGCCTCTACGAGTTTAGAGTATGTAGGCCTTGGAGAGTCTTGGCCAGACGGCCTAATATCCAGCCATATGCATGCCCTGCGCGCATGCAGACCACATCTCTACAACTCTCCCACATGTACGATCGCGATGTAGGCCTCTCGGAGTATCAACCGGTTAATGCAGGTCCTCTATCTACGCCAAGAAGGAAATCAAAATCAATATAAATAATCGTAGATATCTACTCTACAGTTCCGGTTGGGTGTTGTCGTTCAATTGATCAAATATGGTCGTTGCGATTGCAGAAAATTTCCCCGCCAAGATGTGAAACATGGATTACCCTGAACGGAACATGCCAATCCTTCTGTAGCTTCTTTCGATCTCCAAGTGCAACTTTAGAATCATGTCGGCAAGCCTCCAGGTACGCTAGTCCTCGAACTAGCGGAACATGAATTTCGGCCCATGCGCAGCTTACGGCGTTCACGTTCTGTCGGAGCAACACTCATGCTCCCCGCGTCACGAATAATCACACATGATGAGACTTCCTCGGTCCAACTAGTTAACTGTCCAATCATTAATATGACACTCTTTATGATCTAGATACGCCTAGGAAGCACTTCGGTGGTGAAATAAGAGGAGCTTATCTAGCCCCGTGAAACCATCCACCACGTCAGGAGGAACAGAAAATACGAGCCCAACCAGCCCTATCCCACCAGCGAGCGAATAGCAGTGATGGCATACTGTGACCTCACGGGTAAAATCTAGCCCTAGCCCAGACCAGACCAAGGAAACAGACTAGAAAGAAAGAAAAAAGCCATGCGGGGATAGAGTACACAAACTAAGGCTTTCGCTAAACTTTTCCATTCCAGCAATGGAATAAAGTACTTAGGAGAAAAAGCTTCCTTGATATAAGGATAGAGGAAAGAAGCACTCTCCAGGGATCGAGGTGTTCATCTTCCACGCGGGGAAATAGAGGCGACTTGCCAATTATCAAACGTACCTGGAACTCGGAATCTGGTTATTGCTTGTCATTCACATTTTTCCCCCTTCGGTCCATCTCGGCTTTCTTTAGGATTCTTAATTGGACACCAGTATCTCTTCTCTCTCTAATTCGTCCTACTTGCTTGCCTTGCCAACTGTACTTGCCTTACATCTCGACTTCCCTTGCATATGAACTTGCGCAGAATAATAACGGCATAGCATAATACTCACTATATCGACCTATCGATAATTAACAAACATCGAGTAATAAGAAAATGTCAAGACCAGCACATTGGCCACCGCCAAATACGGTGAATCCCGATAACAAAGGGCCCATGATCGTCGGGGTCTTTATCGGATTTACGATATTTGCAGTCATGGTAGTTGGCTTGAGGTTCTGGACGAGATTGTATATCATTAGGAATATTGGGATGGGTGAGTTGTAATATTCCGAGCAAGTTGGAGTGGGTTTTTAATGACTAGATGGTAGATGACTGGTTTATCCTCGCGGCGACAATCAACTTGTTGGCTTCGACAGTGACGAATTGCCTTGGTAAGTCATCGCATGTCTTTTTTTTTTTTTTACCAGACACTAATAAACTTCCTTAGTGGTCAAATATTACAGCTTTGGGATGCACGTATGGGACATTGTCGCCGATTATGGCACTCTCGCAACAAAGGTAATAGAATTCGCCACCATTTGTACTATCAACTCCAAGCAGTAACTTACGCTTCACAGATGGACTTTGCAAACCAACTAGTCTATCATCCCATCCTCGCACTCACAAAGATCTCCATCCTCGTCTTCTACTATCGCCTCTCGGTCTCCGGTACCTTCCGCCAGGTCGTCATGGCGCTCATTGTCATCAACGTGGCACTCACTGTGTCAATCTTCTTTGCCGACTTCTTCCAATGCTCACCCATAAATTACATCTGGGATAAGTCGATCGAGGGAGGGAAATGCATCAACACAGAGGCATTCTTTATCTCCTCAGCGGCGCTGAACATCGTCTCTGATTTTGCGGTTCTACTGTTACCGATCCCCATGGTGTGGAAATTGAAGATTAATACGAAGAAGAAGGTAGTGTTGATATTATTGTTTAGCTTGGGTGGCTTGTAAGTTATCCACGCTGGGGGCTTTATGTATTCGATCTGCGGAAGAGGTACTAATGGTTCGATAGCGTCTGTGCCGTAAGTATCGTGCGCCTGCAGTCCATCATCAACATGTTCAACCCCAACCAAGCCGACCCCACCTGTAAGTCATCCCCGTCCCTGTCAGTCCGTAAAACAAAGAGAGAAAAATTCCTCCTAACAAAGCCACAGTCCAAGCCGGCTTCTTCTGGTCCGGCATTGAGTGCAGTCTCGCCATTGTCTGCGCCTCCGTCCCCTCCCTCAAGCCCTTCTTCGCAGTCAACTTCCCCAAGCTACTGGGCTCCTCCCTGGGCTCCCGCTACGGAGCAAACTCGCAGGGAAAGATGTACAACGGCGGGCAGTCGTCACGCTCACGCGGACAGGCCTACGCGCTCGGGTCCATGCAGAACGATAAGAATACGGTATATCACCCGGGCAAGGATAATGTCCTACAGACGACGATCGCCAAGGGCCCAAAGAGGGATAACGAGAGCGAGGAGAGTATCATACATGGAGACGGCATCTTGAGGACGAGGGATGTACGGGTGGAAGTGGAGAGTCTGAATAGTAATGATGGTAGGGTCGTTCCGTAGTTTTGCCCAGCCCACGATACTCGGCGATCGACCGCGCTACTGGCTGTGGGTAGTTGTTTTTGGTTATATATTGTTTGTGATTTTTTTCATTTGTCGATTTTTCATTTGTCCAGTTTCATTTGTCTAGTTTCATTTGTTTTCGGTTGTACATATTGTAGGGTTTTTGGGTGGGATTTCTTTTGTTCAAGAGCTTTGTTAGTTGGTGGTTGATTGGTTGGCCAATTGGTCAAGGTCGACATATCAAAAACGGCCCATATATCACGATCATATATGCACATATATTTAGATGCACAAGGTATACAGATATATAGATAGATAATGAATATTGTATATTACTTCTCTCTCTCTCAATTGATACACACACGCTCCTAATCCCTCGAATGGTTCGTTTCTTGCATTCCGGAGTAAACATCACCAGCATTCTGTATATACTTCAATGATCGATATCCCTATATTCCTAAACATTAATAATCCACCCACTCACAACACACTCAACAAATAACGACCCTCATATATGTTCGCTTCCAAAACTCTAACAGTACCTTTAATATATAATTATAAAGCGCTTTAATATAACGTTAAGCACAAGGATACTATATCCCAACCTCCTCTCATCCAGCTCTAATACCTAAAATATTTACCTGTAACCTTCCCCGCCTCCTACGTACCCCACAAATTACCCCAACCACGTGAGTATGCAGGCACGTCATATGTGTGGCGTGGTATGGTACGGTATTCATCTGCCGCTATATGTACTTACATGTAGGTACATATTCGAGAACCGGAGAGAGAGGGGGGGGATCTTCGGTCCATTCAGCCGAGGCGGTACTTAATATAAATTAATTGGGCTTGGCGGGCAAGTGGGGACGCTTTTGGTCTGGCGAGTTTATGTGGGATGGGGTGGAAAGTGACTGGTGGTTAGGATAATGTGAAGGGTAATAATTGTGGGAAGGTATTGGGAGTCGAATTGTAATGGGGAATGATTGTGAGGACGAGGAGACTCTCCGCGCAGCGGTGCCGCGGCCAGTAATGACAGCGGCAGAGAAGAACTCTTCAAAAAGACAAGAATTAACCCAGTCGACTCCAAATACCAGGTTCAAAGAAACCAAGTCCGCCGCCATGCTGCGCGGTGTGGTTGAAATCGGGGACAGCAGATGCGGCACCAATGATAGCATGTGCCAGAATCGTTCCAGCCCCTCATACCCAATATCAATACCCACCACCACCACCCGGATCTACTAGTCTTACATACTGACAGGATTACCAGGCGTGGCAGGTTCCAGTATTTTGATTTTGAATAGAAATTATCAACCTAACCCGCTTCCTGCTGACGTCCCCTCTGCAAGGTACTTTTTATTCTACTTTTTTTGAACTCGATTAACGAATAGGTAGACTTATTCCCTCTGCAAGCATGTACTTCAGATTGTTCCTGTCAAAAAAGGTCAGTGGTAAGCAGAAGAAAAAGCAGAATACAGCAAAAGCTTGCTATAAGGGTACGTACGCTTGGGAACGGAATTTGGTGCCGTTATAATTATAGAGAGAGTGCTAGTACTGAGAACTAAAGAAAAGGGACCGAAAAGTACTACCCTTAGGGAGTACCCTTATAGAAGGTGCCCTTATAGCAATCTGTCACTGTAACACTTGAAGTTAGGCCTCAACGTCTCCCAGCGCCCCCTCACTCGGTCTGCCCGCCGACTGAAGCCGCGTGTGCAATTCTCCCATCGTGACCTGAGGGAGAAAGCTTATACCACTCAAAGTCCCTCGGGCCTGAATATATGGATACAGTAGCTCTGTAAAACACTGACTAGATAAGGGTTAGGGCCGTCGCACAGTAGCTATATGATACGCCGGCCGGCCGCTACGGAGTGCGCTTGCGGGTCCGGTCCGGCCCGGCACCTTTACCGGTGCCGTATCGGTGCGCGCCGATGCCGGCTTTTAGTACTTCAAGACCCCAAAGTCTTGAGAGGAATTGTGTGTATATATAACCCGGATCTTACGAGTTAGGCCAGTAACCCGCAGATACTACTAGGTACATACCTGCTCCTGTCTGTCAAAACCACAACCCTTCGAGTGATTTCTCGTGTCTGTAATTCACCTAGCCACCAGGGTGACCTAGCATGTGCTCGGACTACTTTCTAGCTTTTGTAAGTGAGTTGGTGGTAATGAGAGGAGGGGGAGGAAATGTGTTGACTATGGCACGGTGGGGTTCTTTAGCGGGTCGACTTTTAAGGGGCTCTATTAGTGGCTCATGAAGAGGAGGAAAGAATACTCGGGCTGTAATAGATCAGTCAGTTATACGTTAGATAGAGATATAGAAATTGGAGGATGCCTCATACCTATCATAATTATAGATATTAGCCTCGGCTCTCGAGCGAGACCTCCAAGGTGAGCCTCCAAGACTCGAAGATTATTTATCCGAGGCCGTGGAGAGACTGAAAGCAGATTCTGGGGATGAACATTCACTTGAGTCACCGACAGGACGGTGATTCTAGATTAGAAACTCAGGAGAAAGGCTGGTTACATGTATGTAGTTGTAGCCCGGCCATGACACCGGCGTGTTTCAGAAATGTGTTCTGTTGCTAAGGTCTTCACAAAGGCTAGGGTTAGGTTTCTTACTTTTTTCCCTCCCTTCTTTCTTCTTCTGTTTGTGACGGGATAGAGGAAATTTTTTTTGCCTGGGCTGTAAGAGCTTTTGTGACAATTAATGAATTAAACAAAAAAAAAAAAAAAGCTTTTGTGAGCGCAATCCTGAAAACCCCGCCAAGACCGAGCCATGAGGCAGTGTGTACCTGTGGTGAGCATGTATGCACCTATGGCAAGCATCTTATCTGATCTCTAAAGACCTACTTAAAATTACGACCTTTATTATGTAGATTAGATAAGATGCTCACCACAGGTACATGCTCGCCACAAGTATATACACGGGCTATGTAACTCCTTTAATTATCTCACAAGAATGAAGTTCATAATAGGCTGCTAATAGGTATACCTAAATGTGCTTGTCAATAACTCTGCGCATTTAGGTGTGTCATTGCGTTGCGGGGCGCAAGAGTCAAGTTTAGGCAAATTTTGGCGCTTTTTAGTTTCTTCGTAATGTATTTAACTGATCTAATTAGGAATACGTTTTTATCTCCACTCTTAATAGGTTACATCTTCCCAGACCGGTAGAGCTACTCAGGAAACAGTAACAGTAAATACTTCCAAAATCATCCTTCCTTATGCAGTACTCTAGTAGACATATCTGGTGTTCAAATGTGCTCAACACAAACCCTAACCCTACCGAATTAATCCAAGAATCGAGTGATTGTCCATGAGTGAGCTACCCCTAACGCTTCTTGAGGACCTTCGTATCGACCGTAATAATCCCAAGGCTAACGTGGTTTACGAGGCTTTAGTCATGTGTTACATGAGCTTTCTATGGTATTGGATTGGAGAAAAAAATGAGTGCCAAACTAGCCTCGTTCAAGCCTATTTTTTTGTCGTGCCTCGTGCAGACATAAATCAACACAGGCTGGGCACAGTGGCAAGCGGGAGTGATGATTGCTGGATGACGGGGGGTGTTCGGGTATATGCGTGTTTCTACCGAGGATCGTGCTCACTTCGGATCTAGGTGGGATACATTCTTACCCCAGAACGAAAAACCTAAAGGGTGGGAATATACAGGGAAATAACGCCCAAAAATTCATAACTCAATTTCAAGCCTTTCAAGTCTAGTAGTGGAAGAAGTTCGAGAAAACGCAATTCGTGAGGGTAGCTACTCGTCCCGTGTCCCCAAGTCTGTGACGGCGACGAGCATCAAAAAAAAAAACAGATCCCGCGATTTTTTCTAGATCATTCGCCCACCAGTGTCAGTGTTTCTTGTGGGCCATGGTCGTGACGTCCCTTCTTGGCAGGGTCTAGGGTTTGTTTCGTTACGACACAGTAAGTCACTCGGGAGATTTGCAGCTTGTGGGTTAGGGTTTTTCGCCCAGGGGAGGGGCCAGTTGGGAATTGTAGAGGACTGGTTTTTTCTAATTATTCTAAGAAGGGGGACAAGAGAAGATACTACAGAGTCCTACATGCATCAAACATCTTCGAAGAGAGAAGAAAAAAATGGTATGTGGACCTTGGTAGATGGTGGAGTGGCCGAGGCCCGGCGCGCTCAACTCCCACCGTCCCTCTCCTCCCAAGAGGGATCAGGACGAAAAACTTTCAGATAAATCACGCTTAACGATTTCGAGCCTTGCTCCTCCTCCCTTCTTGCCCGTACTCTATCGCAATTTTCTCAGCTCCCAAGGTATTGATCAGATCTTGGCGGCAGACCCCCTCGTTATAAAAGGGAAGCCCTCGCCCCTCCTTTTCCTCCTTCTTTATCTCCCTTCGAGCCTACATCCCCTCACCGCGTGTCTTGTCCTCATGTTAAGTATCTCATCTTTCCCCTTAGGGAGAGGTGTAATACCAACACGAGGACTTGATAGGCGGTGAGTTTCCCTTTTTCCCTTTTTTTTCTTCTTTTTTTTTCGGTGGGCTTTGGCTTTTCGGAACGCACCGCGTGTCGGTCGCTTGTTCATCTTCTCCTTCGGCTTAATCGCCGAACAGGTGGGAATGAACAAGTGGCTTGACAGGCGTGTTGTGTTTCTGATTCCTTTTTTTCCCTTTCCCTTCCTTCCTTTCCCTCTTTGCCCTCTTGCCCACTACACACGTGTCGGCCACTTGTTCCTTGGAAGTCTTCTCTGCTTCTTAATGAAAAAGAGTCGACAGCTTTGGAACAAGTGGCCTGATAGGTGGTGTTTTCCCCTCCTCCTCCTCCTCACACAGCACACGTGTCTACCACTTGTTTCCGTCTCCTCAGCTTCCTTCATGAGGTAGCTATAGGCGAGTTAGAAACAAGTAGCTAGATAGGTGGTGCTTTCCCTTTCCTGTCCCTGTCCCATATAGACAAACGTGGCGCTCTCCTGTTCATTATAATGAACCGTAGCTTGATAGCTGCTGTCCATTGTAATGAACAAGATTTCGTCAGGTTGTGTCGCCAGTGCCTTCCCCGTCCCATATAGACAGACGTGTCGCTCTTTTGTTCATTATAATGAACCGTAGCTTGATAGCTGCTGTTCATTGTAATGTACAAGATTTCGTCAGGTGGTGTCTCCAGTGCCTTCTTCGTGTCCCAATTAATTATGTAGCATATCGGCTCCCCTTGTACCAGTAGACGGATAAGTGAAGTAAGTAACTACTTAGGCAGGTAGTTAATTAAATAAAATAAGTAAGTAGATACATGTAGGCACCTTCCCCCCCATTAAAGTGTCCATAAACACACACCAGGCAAGTCCCCTCCACTCTGTGAGTCCTACCGCCCTTCAAAGGTTTCCTTCTGAGCAGGGTTCCATGGGTCGAACGAGAATTCATGACGCGGCCCCAACCGAACGACTTTCTGTGATGGGATCGAACGACTAGCTGTGATTCTATACTAACCGAATGATCTCTTGTGATTCTGGCCGAACGATAGTTCATGATCACGATGGAGTGTGAGTTTCTCACATGCGTACTCGACTATGGATGGTCGGCCTCAGGCACGTATTAGGGCGAGGGCGAGGGCGGGGTGTTTTTGTCTCTGCGAGATCACGTTTTTGTTCTTTCTCTTTTTCTTACCTAGGCGAGCAACTGGGAGCTATCTTTACGTGGGCTGGCGCCTTAAGGTCATATCGTCCAGGGCATTACGATTATGAGTCGAGCATAGGGCTAATCGAGGACCTGCCTGGGCTGCTGCCCATATCAAAGACCGAGACGAAATTCAAGATACTCGTAGACGGGGTTTATAATGGACACTATTCACGTCACTTCGCAAACGAATTAAACCAAAAGACGATTCATTGGCCCACAAAAAAACTAACGACTACAAGTGATATCTCCGCCAGCCCAGCCCAAAACCCTCGCATAAAACACAACCCGCCTCAACACCGTTAACAAGCACACCCAGTTAAAACTACGATACGCTAATTCTAATACTCCGAGCTTCTCCCATACCCTCCCCTGCTGCCACTATAGCCGCTAGACTGCTCGTCCTGGCCATAGCCACCGCCCCCACGGCGGCCATACGAGTCTTCTTCGCCCTCGTTGTTCCCGCCGCGGCTACCGTAAGAGTCTTCCTGGTTGTAGGAAGAGGTCTGGCGTCCATAGCCGGTTTCCTCACCGCCACCACGGTTGTAGGATGAAGTCTCGTTGTCGCGGTTTCCTCCGTAAGAAGAAGAGCCATAGCCTCCAGTGTTTCCTGAGCCGTAAGCGTCGTCGTTTCCGCGGTTGCGCGATGATGTTTCGTAGGATGCTTGGTTGTCGCGGCCGTAGCTGGAGCTTTCTTCGTTGCGGGTCGAGTATGAAGATTCCTCGCGGCTGGCGCTGTAGGATGTTGAGGTATCCTCGCCACCCCAGTGCCTGGCAGAAGAGCCGGAGACGTCTTCATTGTTACCGCCGTATCCGCCGCCGCTGCCACCGTAGGAAGTGGTCTCATCGTTTCCACGATTGCGGTTTGAAGACCCGTATCCTCCACCACCGCCGCCGTAGGAAGTGGTCTCCTCATCATTTCCGCGATTGCGGTTTGAAGATCCGTACCCTCCTCCTCCGCCATATGAAGAAGTTTCCTCATGGTTGCGGTTTGAAGAGCCGTATCCCCCACTACCACCGTATGTTTCCTCGGTATTCTCACGGTTTGATGACCCGTATCCACCGCCGTAAGATTGATCCTCATTGCGGTTGCGGTTTGAAGATCCATAACCTCCTCCTCCTCCGCTACCGTAAGAAGACTCCTCCTGATTGGAGCGGTTACGATTCGAAGAACCATATCCTCCACTTCCACCGTAGGAGTCCTCGTTCGTCTCGAGAGACCGGCTGGGAGCGTTGTAGCCGCCACTGCTCTGGCCATGGTTCTGTCGACCACCCATGCCTCCATGGCTGTGACCGCACCCTCCGGGGCCTGGGTTGGGGTCGTCACCCTCGTGGTTCTTGCCCTCTCTGACACCCTGCTTACTCAGCGCTTCAGTGAAATGCTGCTTCATGCCATCATCTTTTTCGTTCCACCAGTTCTGCACAACCTCGAACATCGCTCTTTGACCCTGCTTGTTCTCATCTCTAAGAGCTGGGTGGTGGAAAATCTGGAGAATCTCATCACAGATCTGGTTTGCGTCTCTGTTGCTGTCTTCCCAGCCCGCTACGATCAATGGGACGGCGAATTTGACAGATTCAGTGGCAACTCTTCCAGCGACCTCGTTGAGAATGTTTGTAAAATGATCCTTTGACAAGACAGAGTGGGTGGGGTCGCTAGAGTTTCCGTCCTCGAAGACGTTAAACTGGGCGTTTTCTGAGGCTTGGAGAACACCGCCGGATCCTGCAGCAAGCTCAGTCTTGACACGGTTCAAGATGGGCTTTACGTAGGGGGCTAGCATGGAGAAGATGAAGATCTGCATGGCACCGGTAAGGTTTTCAAGGAGCTCGGAAGCGCCAGGAATCTTATCGATTGCTTGCGACATGGCCTTCATGACCTTATCGTGGAACTCCATGATGGGATAGATCTCCTTCATGGTCTGTGCAGCTTGAGTCTTTAACTCGTTGACATCCATTCCAGCAATTCTCGTGCTCTGCTCTCCCTGGTCGGATTGCTTGTTATTGGCATCATCCTGGATCTTGCTGGCTTGGTCGCCGAAATTGCTGTCACCAAGGCCGAGGAGGCCAAATGGAATGTTGTCAAGGATCCCCTTCAGAGTGGAGGTGGCACCACCGTCTTGAGACTGCTGTTCGGCGGCAGCAAGTTTGGCGTCCAGCTCTTGAACTTCTGACTGAGCCACTTTGTCAGAGACCTCTCCGACGACACTGTGGAGGAAATCAGTCATTCCAACTTGGGTTTGTTAGTTGTTTGGTCTCTTAAGGTTATTGGTGATCAAACTTACAGGTTCCAGTGACGAGGGGGAAGATTCTCTTTCCATTGACTTCAATCTCGGTGTTTTCACCAACGTGAGGGAAAGCGTCAATACCCATTTCACGGAGTGCCAATTCGATGTAGTTGGAGTGAGCGGCGTAATCTATCGAGGAGAATCAATTGGCTTATCATCCTTATAAGTCGGTGGGGTATAATTTCAGATTTTACCTTCCAGGCAGTGGAGTCCTGTTCCAAGAAGCCTCAATGCCTCGTAAAGATCGTTGTTGTTTCCGTCTCGGCCATAAGCCCGCCCTTTCTCGATGGCCTCAACGAACTTCTTCCTGACCAACCCAGCACTGGTGTCACAACCTCTGTCTTCAGAGGCAATGTAGACTTTCAAACCAGTACGGTCATCAATCGCAAGCTCTTTTCCCTCGTCAACAGGGCCACGTAGACGTGAGTCGTATTTGCGCGCATCCTCGTTATCAGCATAATCCTGCATAAAAGGTCACAATGGTAAGCTTTTCAAAATCCATCAATTCTAGAGAATAAGGCCCAGTCTTAGCTACCTTGGGGTTGTCAATGTGCTCTTCAGGGCGGTAGCATCCAAGACGCTCCTCCGTAACCTCAAACTCGGCAGTTGCGAATCCGAAGGTGACGAATGACAAGACCCACAACTAGTAATCATTAGAAAAAATCACCAATCTATCTCCAGAAGTTATGATTATACCAAAATCCTGATAGTGTCCTTTGGTAGCTGCTTCAAACCACCAACATCGATAGCTTGCGAATAATCTCTGAGCCAATTGCCCTAAACCCTTTTGTTAGCAGCCTCTCCATCTGAAGAACTCGAGCTCGGGAGCCAGCATACAAAGTAAACTCTCTTGACAGCCAATTTGTCAAATCTTGTGCCTCCACTTGCACTGATCATGAGCTCTAACAGGATATCCTCAATATCACCATGACGCCAGTTCTTCCCGGCAATTTGTGAAACATTGATAATGTTTCCAGCTCCGAAAGCAGCGACAGGGGTAGTAAAGCATAATACCAACCCCGCACAGAGTAATAGCTGTAAGGCTAGAGATGGCATTGCGATGGAGAAAGCAAGCTCACTCGTAACAAAATAAAGAATTCGGATGGGTTTTTGGTGGGGGATGAAAGGGGAGAATGACGGCCTACGGGAAGGAAGGAGAAGCGGGGTGTTTTATTTACACCTCTTTATTTACTCTCCTCCACTGCAATCTTTCTCCCGAGTGCTCGGGCCTTGGTTTTCACCTAGCTAGCCCCGACGGAAACGCGCAAGCAACATGCTCTGAGGAAAGCAAGAAATCGCGGGGCACGTTGCATCATGATAGGCGCATGACGTTAGCTCCTTACCATATCCATGGATCTTACACCTATCATCGATCTGTTCACAGCATGCAACATGCGCGAGTTTCTGTTAAGAGCACGGTTCAAGATCAAAAGTCCAGCTGCTCCGATGTCGCAAGGGTTGCAGATGTGGTCCAAGAGGAACTTAAGTGGGGTGTTCTAAAAGTAGCGTTCCAAGATGTACGCCACAGATATTTGGAATGCTAAGATGCCAAGATTTGCCACTGGCTTGCTGCAGGGTCACACTTAGGGTGTCACGCTACTTGATACTAACCATAATTGCCAGTAGTACTCGAGATGTTAACCCGAATCGTTAGTACTCGAGACGCTAACCTGAAATTTCATTACCACTTGTTACTGGATCCCGATACGGGAACGCAAAATCTGGAAGAAACAGAACTTTCAGCTGAGGGCAATTCAATTTTCTTATTGTTGTATTTGAGATACCTAAATGTAATGAAGAACACAAGTACATCGAGAGAACTGAGTTGAATAACTTCTTACACATGTGGATGCAACTCGACTAGCGGGGCTCAAATAACAAGAGCCAATGATAATACCAGATATTGTACAGACTTGAAGTACTGCGCAAGAGCTCCAGTAGTACCCCCATTAACGGTCCCAAAATCATACAGTAGCATGTAGGTAACTCCCGGTTATTAGCTCTCCTGGAGGATTCTGATATTTAGATTTGATGGCTCTGATGGCCTATAAAATCGTTGCTTGATACATGCATAAAATGACAGAGAGATAAATGTACCTAGTGAATCAGAGTCTGTAAATTCAAGTCACGACGGAAAAGTTAAACCGTCACACCGGCTATAAGTTACTCCAGCACAAAGCATCATGTCTCGAATTAACCATGGATGCTAGACTCAGGTGTTTTATAGAGGAATGAACTATTTGGACCGTCGGCCTCTAAATTGCTATCAGGGACTAAACTAGCTATGGTACATGTGCTCGATCTTACGGATGCTGTCACTGCTCCTCGCCCACCGAGTTCTTATCATACACTGGAGAGCTCTACCGTCTCAAGGAGAGAATGAACAGTAACAGCGTTCAGAAGAGCACATTTGCCATATCTGGCGGTCACCATTTTCGGGACTCAATCTACCTCATGTATTAAATGAATTACTCCTAGATAGTTCTACATAGCACTTAGAATTTAGCGTTCAGCCGAGCCGTGAGATCCAAGACAAACGTTATGCCAAGGACCGTATAAAATCCCATACATAAATATGTACATATGTATTCCTATCAACCATACCTAACTCCGCATTCCCTTATCCACGTCCCAAAATTTCATCTTTGAAGCAGGACAGGAGTCATCGAACAAATCAACATCGTCGAATGCACCACTCTGAACTGGAGTTTCTTATAACGAGGAAAGCACAAAGTTCATCAAGCGAGTCAATACAATCGAATACAGTATTTTTAATAGGGAGTTTTCCATTCAAGGATGCCACGAAGTCCATCGAGCGAATACAGTATTTTTAATAGGGAGTTTTCTATTCGAGGATACCACGAGGTCTATCGAGCGAATCAACATCGTCGAATCAACTATTTTTTATCGAGTTTCCATCTCCCGAAGACACCATAAAGTCCATCGAGCGAGTCAACACAATCGAATTCTTTTCCAACCCGATTTTCATTCCTTGGGGTTGGCGGGCACTACGATTCGGGTGGGGTTCACGAGAGCTTCTTTATTTTAAACAGTCTTGCTCGTGCCACCGGAGAGGTGAAAATAATACTCCGCTGGCCTTCGTGTGGTGTAGCAAACACCTTTTGTTTTCCTGGGACCTGGCCCAATAGATGATTCCCAGACATCCAACTTATTGTTGGTGTTTCGAGGTACAAAGAAGACTTGATAATAATAATTAGAGGCAATAGCTAATTTTAAACAGGAATAGCAGTGGCGATACCAGCTATATCACATGCCCCATACACTGCTTTTGTAGCGAGAGATTTGTTGAGCATAGATCGGTAGCCCTCTACAGCTGCCCTTTCAATTGCCGGGAAGGGACTTCAGAACTTCGCAAAGATCATGGTCGTCGGGGGCTATGCTTAGATTATTTCTCCAGCTGTTGACTCCTCTACAGGTATGATTTACTCCTCAACCATCGGTATACATGAAGCTAATTCTCTTACAAGGTTTCACTTCATTCCCAGTACCAACCCTAGGCACGAATAGGAGATATTGTAGGCTGGAGTAAGGTCTAGGGTAATACTTCATAGGCTTGAGAGCTTATGTCCTTCCTTCAAAGCTGGGGGACCTGAGCTTAAAAAGATTAGGCGCCGGTATGTTTTACAATTTATTCTTCTACATCTTCTCTTGACATATACCAAAACCCTGATAGACCAAGTCTACCACAACGAGCTATCTGGTGGGCTGCCTGGTCTTCAGCTCTGGCAGCCGCTAGAACCCAATCCGGCCCCCTCCCATTTCTACTGAAGCTGCTAAAGACGTGGGTGCGGTCGGTCTCTCGTGATAACAAAATCCGAGGTAATAATCTTTTCCTTTCCTTTGCCGAAAAAAAAATGTTTATTGACATCCTGTATAGTGCTAGGACAAAGTTTACATATGTTTGTTAGGTTATATGTAGACATTTTGTATAGATACAAAACAGTCTCTGCAAAAGTTTGCAGCTTTGCAAACCAAACCTACCAAAACGAATTAAAAGTTCTAGTGTTCTCTAAGCTTGTCTGATCTCGGGATGACTCCAAATATTTGGAATTCTTTGTTAATGTGGAGTCTAACTAAATTTATAAACATGGTAAGTATCTTGGTTGGAAGAGTGACCACTTATGAAACCGTGAACACAATCAGATTTACCCTCACCGTCCCCAACCAAAATTTTGTCCTCCGCCCCCTTCGTGGGGAGACTTCATAACATTTTATGTGCAGAATTTACTATAAATGCGGCCATCATATGTAATCAACGGTTTCTGTCCGAGGTCGCCCGTTCCAAGCATTTACCATCATAGAATATCACTCTAGATCGATTGTCTCACTCCTAAAGTCTTGGCATAGAGAATTACATGTATTTACACCCATCTCTAATCTAATTAGATAAATACATGTACATGCAATATATAGATGCACTATCATGAAACATACATACAATTCAGTATCGCTTCGTTCCGTTCCTAGCCCGTCTCTAGCCCGTCCCTAGCCCAGTCCTCCAGTTTCCATCCATAACTTCCCTAATCTTCCCCAGCCCGAAACCCATCACCGATAAAGTGAGGAAAACAAAAGAAATTCAAGGGTATATACATATATAGTATAAAGAGAAATCGAATGCTCAGGTAAAGGAGAAAGAAGGAAGAAAGAAAAGAAATATTTATTTGTTCCTAAGAAAGATGCCATACCCCAGACAAAAGAAAGGTGAGTTTAAAAAGGAAGAAATCACTACACATGCCGCATCCACGTTAGTGCTCACTACAGACCTAGCTACGTACTGTAATCCAACCTGTCCCACCCGCCCACCTCCTCCAACACACCTCCAATATGCGAATCATCGCCAAACTTATAGCTTGCAATGAGCTCCTCATGGTCAATGCCCAAATGGCGCTTTCCATCCCTCCCCCAAAACCACCCAAATGCATACGTCATGCCCAACTTCTTCAGCTTCTCACGCCTCTCCGCCGTCGAGGCCTCCTCTGTGCCCTCGAAATCTACTAACATTTTGCTTTGATGAATGAATGCCAATACAGAACTAATCGTACCGGGCTGTCTGGGCAGGAATGTATGTCTGCGCTGATGCAGCACCAGGGCCATTGTTGAGATGAGAATGAGCAGGATCCCCATAGAGAATGCGAACGAGATACGGAAGGAGAGACCACTTTCTTCACCGCCATTGTAGTCGAGGGAGCCCATCGCGACTGTGAGAATTTCAATAAGCACAGACACGAAGCCTACCCAGGCAAGGAGGTAGTGGCCTTTGAATAGTGCTTTGACGACAATCCAGCCAGGGACCGTAGCAGAGTAGTCGAGTGTAAGTATGCTGGATGGCGCGTGACGATTGTACAAAATCCAAAAAGGCTCCAACATGCGCATGTCCTTTTCGACAATTTCCCAGAGGGACTTGATAGTGACTGATAGTGCTGTCAGCACCCATGGCGTCTTGTCGATAACGACATTGAGTGGTGTAGGGTGCGCCATTGGTGGCAGCAGTCCTGCCAAAACAACCAGGAAAACCAGGAATGGTATTCCACCTTTCATACGTAGTAATAGAGGATGGGCGTTCATGGCTTTAGGGGCTTGGTTGTCGCGGTCGGATTCTTTGAGGAAATCGGCTTGCCAAAGCGAACCTTTGTGGAGTAGGTAAGTGCGCTTGTTAAGCTGTTTGTGAATCTTTTCTTCGGAAGCGGAGTCAAGACCCTGGAAGTCCATTAAAATGTGCGATTTGTTTGCCATCGCTGCGACGCCTGCAATACCGCTGGGGTCGCCGAGGAGGCCGGATCTGCGCCTTTTCAAGGCGACGATTATATACGCATTGAGTACAAGGATGATGACGAGGGTGGTCTCCAAAATTCGCGTGAAGACAATATCGACGACGATAGTCTTCTCGATATCACGGTCAGGCTTTCCGGACTGCTGTCTAGATTTCTGGGATGGCGAGATCTTGACGAACACGGACAGAAACATTGGGACGATTGCGAATGCAATGAGGGACGCAACCGAAGAAGCTACGACAACCCACTGCCTGTGTTTTAGAG